TACCAAGGTAGATTTTAATACAATAAAAATTATTTTTACAATCCACAAAGTAGGGGCTATAAATCCGTGAAGAGAGGATTAGGATTGGATTATCCGTTTTGGAGCAATAAATATATAACGGAAAAAAATAGTTAATTCTTTGAGTGTATATATATACAGATAAAAGTCAGATATGTCGGCAAAATGTTTGTCATGTAATCCTTCATTACTTATCTAGCTTAGACACCAAGGTTAGAGTGATATTATATCAGTTGTTTAAGTACTCCACAATAATGGCGATTCGCTTAATTCCGTTCATTTGTGCCGCGTTGGCAATCAATTTAATTTTGACGCAAAATTTGGACCAACTTCGTCAAAGTGTAACTTCGGAAGACCAGAGAGCTTTCATCAAGATAAATGTGTTGTTGGATACGGCTCCTCGTGTAGTTGAAGCACAACTTGAAACTGCGTTGCCAGATGGTCACATGAAGGAAAGGACAGTATATACTTGGTATGGGGATTTTAAACAAGGAAAGAGAACAGATGTCAGCTATCTACCTAAACCTGGAAAAACACGAAAAGTCACCACAAAAGACAATAAAGAAAAGGTTAAACAACTCATTCTGGAGAGCGAAGGAATGCGAACCGAAGATCTACTTTATGAAACTGGTTTCTCTGAAAGTAGCTTAAAAAGGATGCTCAATGAAATAAATGCTAAATTTGTAAATTCAAGGTGGGTACCTCATGAACTAACAGAGAGACAAATGAATGCAAGACATTATATTGCAAGTAAACTTCTAGCAAGATATCAAAGAGAAGGTGATCGAAATTTCATTGACAAGATAATTGCCATTGATGAAACATGAATAAAATCATATGATCCTCAAGACTCAAGACAGAGCAGTGAATGATTGCTTCCAGGTCAAAAGGCGTTAGTATAATACAAATTTAAATTTTTTATATGTTTAGCAAATTTGTAAAATTTTTATTTTCACCGCATTTTCCCCCTATGCTTCGTAGGCAAAAGAAACTTAAGGGTGAACTTCACCAAGGGCGAAATGCATGATGATAGTGGCACTTTGGAAGAAACAGATCTTTACATACGAGATATTACCTGAAGATACCACTGTTGATGCAATTGTTTACCTAAACTTTCTCGAGCGTCGGGTGCTAACAGAAGTGGAGCGAAAAAAATTTGGTCGACCCCTACTATTGCATGACAACGCGCGCCCACATAAACATTGCATTATTCGGGAATTTTTACAACAGAAACGTTGGGAGGAATTGGATCACCCGCCTTCTAGCCCTGATATGTCCACGCCGGATATGGACACTATACAACGTATTAAAGCACCACATAAGGGGAAGCAGTTCCAGACCAGGGAAGAGCTTATTATTGATTATGAAGCGACAATTAAAGACATTAATCTCCACCACCAATCATTGGGTATATCTATGCTCCCTGACCGTTGGCGGAGTATCACTCTTGCTCGGGGCAAATATGTTGAGAGATAATTAACATGTATTGATATTACTATGATTCCATGTATAGTTTGAGAAATAATTTTTAAAAAAAATTAAAAAAGTTTGCCTACTATTCTGAACGCATCTGTGTATTTCAATAAAATATAAATTGTCCTCTTGATTTAATTGTATTTATTTAATAAATTGTTCCTGATGAACGCGCATAACTTCAGTAAATTAAAGTAGCAAGCTAATATCTCGTTTGGCGGAGCCGGGTGGCTACCACACCCCCACCTTAGCTCACAATATATACTCCATACAATGTTGTTGTTTGGTAATATTATATTGATAGATAATTGACTAAATATATTTATAGACTTAATTATATAAATAAGGTTACTTTGGGACACAATTATACAATTTTAATTTAAATAATCTTTAAATTTTTAATTTATTTTTAAATAGTTCTTCAACGGATATTTTAACTCAACAGATAAAAAGTTTTTCATATTAAATGACACATCTAAAGACTACCATGCTCAAAAAATTCAATCCGAATTCAAATGTTTTGGCTACTATTTTTCAGGCGATTTTATATTGGAGAATTTTACAAACTACCCTGCTTCATGCTGTGATCAATGAACCACTGATGATTCAGCTGAGAAAATGTGCAATGACCCTGGTGACTTAGTTTATACTGAGGGCTATATATTCGAAATCGAAAGGAGCCTTACCAAGTATCTTTTGGCACAAGTTATTAGCGGTTTCATTTTGATGGCAATCGAAAGTATTATAATAATGGGCGGATTTGGTTGGTTAAGATGCGGATTTATATCATGGCCACAAGTTCGGACAATTAGCAACTGGATCTGTTTTGTAAATCGAAATCGTCTTATGAATGGTGATGACGAGGAAATATCGCACGATATGGCGGGTCTTAACCCCGAAATTATGAATGATGAGCAAGGAAAATACATTACAAATTTTACGGAGGTTGGCCTAATTGGGAAAGGTGGTTTTGACGAAGTATTTAAAATTCAACATATTACTTCATCGGGTTTCTATGCAATTGAGAAAGTTAAATTTACAGGTTTAGTCATTGTAGAATAATGTATGAAAACGCTCTATATCAGAGACGTGCAAAATTTTTAAAATCCTCAAATTAGTGTTTTAAAATATTAGTAAACTTATTAACTATTGCAAACACTAGTATTTAATGAATTAAAAGTGACTATGATATTTTGTTTGAAACATAATTTTCATTTTATCTCATTTTCATATTTTATTCATTTCAAGTATGAATATTTAATAATCTCTTTGTTTGGACATATAGTAAAAACATTGACAAATAATTTAATCGCAAGTTATACCTAGCTATGAGTATATGAGTAATAAAATTAATATAACTGAAAAATTAATATTAATGTCTAATTTCTGATTCACAAAATACTAGTGTTGTAAATACATGTTTAAACTATTAAATGCATACATCGCTAGTTGACCGCAAACGGTCATATCTGTGCGCCTCTGCTCTATATTATATATTTTATAATTCTGTGCTAGATGAAAATAATCGAAAACGGAGGAATATATTTAAAGAGGTTCAAAATCTGATCAAAGTTCAGTCGGAGTATGTGGTCCGGGTGTTTGGTGCCTGGAAAGAGTCCGACTATCTATACATTCAGATGGAGTTGTGTTCCGACAGTCTCTACAATATTCTTCAAATCAAACGCCAACTCTTTGCACGAAAATACGATAAACCGATGAATCGATTCGAGTATATAATTTCGTGCAAAATATTCCGTCAGATCTTGGAATGCGTTCAGTATTTACACGAATTGAGTCCTCAGATCATTCACCGGGATCTCAAGCCCGAGAATATTCTAATCGCGGTAAATGCCAAAAATGGACGATTTATTAAGCTAGGTGACTTTGGATTGGCAACTGTTCATGATAAGTTGGTTAACTATGTAAGCCAAAATCGACATAGCTCACGTGTGGGCGATATTAGATATATGGCACCTGAAGTATCGCGAAAAGATTACTACGGCCATAAAGCCGATATTTAGGGTAAAATTGATAGCGAGATATTCGATATCGACCAGTTTCTTAATGTTGAAGTATCAATGTGAGTTTTAAAATACAAACGTTTGGAATTATAATTTGGTATTACTTTTAATTTTTAGCATACTGAAAAAGTATACATGGAAAAATAATATCACGACTGAGTCAGCATCAATTTTATTTCCTATACTAAAGTCAATGATAACGGACCCCGCGATACATATGAGGCCGGAATGTAGCCAAATATTGTCTCAATTTGATAAATGGTCTATTAATACGGCTAATTTTACCAAGGATCAAGAGTTTCTATTAACTCTATACAGGCTTGAAAATTATGAGAATCAATTATTCTATAAGCTATTTACATTTGTGTTTAATATTAACGAGTAACAAAAATATTTAGTTATATACAATATCAATTCTTGAATAAAATTTTACTTGTGAGATATTATTTTGATTTTTAACATTTGGTTCAATATAAAAATATTAAAATTATGATATTACAATAAAATATGTTTAGCATTATAATAAATAAAATCATTTAATCATTAAGGTAATTCATTAAATAATTTGATAGAAAAGTCAATAATATTTTTATCACAAAAGTATATTCTATTAAAATTTGATTTACAATAAAATGTATTTCTCATGGATTCATAAAAGTCATAATAATTAAAATATTTTGAATACACTATGTTTTTGATTTAAAAAATAAATAGTTTTCAATATTTGTGTTTTTCTCCGTCTCTCTAATGATTTCATATCCAAATACTTTAGTCTTTCGTTATATTTTAAATTCATTTTATAAAACTTAAAACAAATATATTTTATTTTTCTCTGAATTTTCTCTAATCTCATGGATTGAGTGTCATTTAGAGTGAGACATAGGTTAATGTACTCAAGGATCGGTAATATATAATTAAAATATAATTTCTTAAATACATAACCCTTAACACGATTACAAACATATTTCAATATTTACAACTTTTTTAAAGCTTTTCCTGATTTTCAAATGAATTGTTTTGTTTGCATTCAATTTCAAACAATTATTACTACAATAGTCTAATATATTATTGAGATCTGCCTGTAGTTTTTGACAATTTGAATCATAAATAGGTTTACAAATAGTCAGATCATTAGCAAAACAATAAATACTAGAAAAATTAATTACATTTATAATATCTGAAATATATATGAAAAATAGTGTTTGAGAAGTAACCACTGAATTACATCAGATTTAACTGATTTCATTAGGCAATACATTATTAATTAACTTTATAACTAATAGCGAAATAATCGCAACTATTGCTTATGTTTTGCATAACTTTTAAATCATTAACTAATGTCTAATTATTTACAAAAACTAAATCTAATATTGATTTTGGACTTATTACTGGATACGTAGGACTCAACTATTTGTTCAAAACCATACTGAACAGATTCATTTAAAGTTTATAAAAATTCAATATATTGTTAAAACTTGTTTAAAACTCCTAAAAAGCATATGATATCATAATAAGAACAACAATAGTACCAAAATTTATAGTAAAATAGTTATTAAAATTAATTTTCTGATTGGGAGGTTTATATAGAACTGCAATAAGTACTTTACATTTCTTAAAATATATTTCAATATATCTCGTTTTATCAAAAAAATTTCATTACATTTATATATGTTTTGCACTGCTATTATAACTCCACCTCCAAATGATTGCAAAAAATCTCAGGCACGTCCAGAATTTTAAAAATCTTTAAATACTGATAAATAATATTGCTAAGCTTAATAATAATCTACAACACTAGTATTCATGTTTTATAAATGAATAACATTTTTATTTAAATAATAATTTTCAATTTGGATTATAATATTAATATAATATTAAACTCCAAATTAAAACTCAAATGATTAATACATTGATGGACGAACATTACTCTGTGGTTATGATTGTCAAAAATAGCCAGTAACAATTAACATTTTTAATTGACTAAACTTGGCGAATCAAGTAAATTAGCTTGCTAATTTTACGTTAAACTATCGCTGACATCATTATTTTGTCATTTATATAACATTAGATTTAATTATAATGTTATACTATTATTTTGTGTTCATATATCGGTAGTTATTGTTAAAATTATCTTGTTTGATGGCACAAAGCAGTCTGATACAATTGCACCATTCAACTTATGTACAGTTCATAAACCTTATGTTATTTCAATGACAAAATGAGTATGCCAGTATTGGTTGAACGTCAATTTGTGATAAAAGAATTTAATTTCCTAACCTTTTACTAGTTTTTGGCTTTTAATCTCAATCTATGGAAATGTTTTATATTTTAGTAATTGGTTAATATCTAGTCTAGTTTTAAAGGTTGTGTTTTTCCACTATATTTGAGTCTCACTTTTCCTATAAAACAGGAGACGTTTCGTATATAACTTCAGTCTCGTTGTGAATCCCAAATGTAACACTTGTAAAGTAAAAAGTAAATTGAATCCCTTATTGTTGAATAAATTGTGTTGTATGTTAAGTACCCGTTTATTGCATTAATTGTGATTAGTTTTGGCTCGCAAATAGCAGGCTGTGGGCCGGGATTGACGTGAAGTCCTACAAGTGTTTCGGGATCTACGAGAACTTATTTATATATATTTGTGTATTGTATTGATTTGGTCACCAAAGACCTATTACTGTAGTGTTTGCCTCCTAAGCCCCCATTACAGTACAAAACCCACCTCCAAGTAGTCTTTTATCACAAATTTATCAAGCTAATTAACTTGATTCGCCAAGTTTAATTAATTCAAAATCTTAATTATGTTACTGGCTAACTATTCTCAACAATCATAACCATACAGGACATGTTCGTCCATCAATGTTACCAACTAAGATATTATAAAGCACATAATAAAAATAATGTATAGGAAAAAAATGATACACATTTAAATGACAAGTTGTACTTAGCAATGCTAAATAAAATTTAATATTAATTTGAAAACTTTTCATTCTAATGACTAATTTCTTATTTATAAATTATAAAGTACTAGTGTTTTAAATACTGTAGTAAAAATAGTAAACGCATACATCGCTTGTTGGCCGCCAGCGGTCATATCTGTGCGTCTATGATAGAGATCATACATATTATAAGTGATCATAAAGCAAAAAACAAATTATTTAAAAATATTTAATCACGTGTCATTATATAGTGAATAGTTTATAGAAAAACAAGGTATTAAAATTCATAAACGTATTTAAATTGTCATCGTAATCATAGTAACTTTTGATAATAATTTTATCGATATACCACTCGCTATATTTAGCCAATACTTCACTACATTCTGGTCGCGTATCACTCATAGGGCTCGACATCATTGAAATTAATAGCGAATATAAACAATGAACAGGCTCATTCAAAGTTAAGTCACTGATGTAGTATTGCAGGCTAAACACAAACATAATTATCAAACCAATTAAAAATCAATTAGTTAACAATTACCAATCAAATTCACCAGATAAATCCAGGTCAAATATTTCGCCACCAATAAGTGCCAATCTATAAATATCCGATTTATGATTATATCGGGTGTCCCATCGTATCAGTACGACTTGTAATTAAAATTAAAAATATTTACAGTAATTAAATCCTAACAAAAACTACCAAAATGTTGAAATTTATTAAAATTTTATGTGTGACTTATAAAATTTGCACAAAATACCTACCCTGGT